CTGTGTCCCTACATTTAGCTGAGTCTATTTGAATATCCACAATGCAAGATGGGAAATTTACAAAAAGAATATTTGTTGTGTGTTTCAGAAGTTAAAAAAGGGGGAAGGAAAAGAAAAGCCAAAGAAACTGAGCCAAAGCAACCCAAAAAGCCTGCTGCTAAAAAAGAAAAACCAGCCAAGTCAAAAGGCAAACAAGAAAAGATCACAGATACTTTTAAAGTCAAAAGAAAAGTGGACCGTTTTAATGGTGTATCTGAAGCTGAACTTCTGACCAAGACTTTGCCTGATATTTTGACCTTTGATTTGGACATTGTGATAGTGAGTAATTCAGTTTCAAGATTAGGTAGAAAAGTCTTGTATTTACTTGTTATGATTTATATTCTTTCTGCTCACTCATCTGTATTGCTTATATGGCAAGATCTTGCAAGATAAAGTACATAAACTGTTTCCTGTGTGTAGAGCGGCTTTGCATTTTCTGTTAAAGCCACAGTAACTTAGTCCTAATTTTTGAGAAATCTAAGGCTCATGTTTAGCACAGATTCATGAGAACCCATAACTCAGTGCTTTATTTCCTGGAAGCTTTGCACCCTCTGAGCTGCTCTTTTGATCTTGCACATTTAAATGAGGCGCTGCTGCAAAATTGTCAGGTTTGAAAATAATGGTGGAAGGTGCCATTAATGCATTTTTATTTATTAACAGTAACTTAGAGAGAATTGAATAAGCATCCTTACTGTAACTTGAATAAATTCTTGACTAGCAAGCCATGTTGTCATTGTTAAAATGGACTGGTATCTTTGTAGATTGGCATAAATCCTGGCCTGATGGCAGCTTACAAGGGACATCATTACCCAGGACCTGGAAACCATTTTTGTACGTTTTTGTTTTTCTTTCTTCTTTTAGCATTTGCAGAACTTTGTTAGAACTTGTGGCAATGTAATTAAACTAGTTTGGTTTTTGTTTTTCTCCTGGGTTTTGGTTTGTTGGTTTTTGGGGATTTTATCTTCAGAGAGGGATTTTTATGTGCTAAATATGAGTTCAAGACAGCAGGTTCCGTTAGAGAGGCCCAGCAAAAGGAGAAGCAATGGCAAGATTGTCAAAGAAAGCTGACGTGTTGTATTTGCCGCATTCTTTCCCCCAACCCATATTGATCACTGCTTAAATGTCTCACAAAATCTAAAGCTCTGTGCTGAGCTTCTAGAATAAAAGACTGGTTTGCAGGATCATGATAAGGAATTCCTGTTCATGGGGCCTTTCTGCCCTCTTGGAGGAGGTAAAGTAATATTGGCTATTTTAAAACTTTCTGGATTGGGAAGTAGTCTTCCCAAATTAACTGATACTTTGTTAAAATAGATTATTCCTTTAGCATTCCAGTACTGCAGTAGTTGAGTGGAATTTTTTGGTTCTGTTTTCTTTTCCTTGGAAAAAAGGTAAATGCATATCTGTCTTCCAACATCACAGGGAAGTGTCTGTTCATGTCTGGTCTAAGTAATGAGCAGCTGAACCACATGGATGACCACACCTTGCCACATAAATATGGGATTGGATTTACAAACATGGTTGAAAGGACAACACCTGGAAGCAAAGACCTCTCCAGGTAAGACAATAAAAGGAAATATCAAGCTTGTTAATGAATTAATAGTTGTGATTATAATTTTGAGTATTTTGTCTTTTAGCAAAGAGTTTCGGGAAGGAGGGCGAATTCTGATGCAGAAGCTACAAAAGTATAAACCTCGTATAGCAGCTTTTAATGGAAAATGTGAGAACTTTTACATGAATTTTTTTCTGCCGGTAGCTTTTTTTTTCCACTTACCCTATATTTTCATTTTAGGTATTTACGAAATTTTTAGTAAAGAAGTTTTTGGAATTAAAGTTAAGAACTTGGAATTTGGGCTGCAGCCACACAAAGTGCCAGATACAGAAACTGTAAGTATTGAGACTGAGAAACAAAACTCAAACTGGGGCACTTCATTTTGGTTATTTAAAAACGAATGAAATCACAGGCTTTGCACACGCTTAGGATAACACCAGTTTGACCAGAGTACAAGAGGTGTGAAAGGTTTTTACTTAGATAGAGAAAGGGGACTAGTGCAGTTTTTGGACACATCTTTAATGCAGCTTCTTCAGACTTGCAGACTTCTTTTGAGAAATGGTATGTTATGGTTAGTAGGTTGGCGCATTCTCTGAGGACGGCGTAAAATACAAGTAACACATGCTTGCTTTTATGATAATTTTCATCTGATCCCCTGTGTCCAATTCCCTGGGTATTTGTATTACTGGATTTTGATACTGAGCATGACCATGCAGTGCCACAGTGGGGGAGAAAGTCCATCCTTGTGTTACTGCATGCAACCCTTCAGCATTGCTAGATCTGGGCATGCCCAAGCGCTTCCATCAGACTGGATCTCCTTAAGCTGATCTGCAGTTTGAAGTTAAATTGGATGCTTAAGATAAAACAAGCAATTTGATGAAGAGTGCATTAGTCATAGAACTCTAGTGCTGGAAGATATCTCAAGAGACCAGCTATGTATCATTAATAATTGGATTGTTTAATGTGTTCTTATAAACAAGTTAAAGCAAAGGCAATTACACTGCTTGCCAAAGTAGCTTATTCTAAAGCTCCATTATCTTGTCAGTTCAAAAGTTTGGTTTGTTTTTCTTCTTATTTCTATCCTCTACTACTAGTGCTGCAAGTTTCAGCTGCCTTTCTCTAAAGGTGGAAGTGCTGCCATTAGAGCCTGAAGAATCATTGGATAAATATTTGCTCCTTAGGTAGCTCTTAAGGACTTCTGCAGTAGATGTATTTGTAAGAAAAATAATCCCCTTTACTGGTACTTGTTCATAAAGACTGCATGGTAATAGAAGTATTGAATACAATTTTTCTTGAACTAACTTGATGTCTTTAGTTAGGGCTGTTGGCAGAGGTAGAAACACTGAAGCTGGCTCCAACCACACTAACAACAATTTCACAGCCTGGTGTACATCATGCAGCTGCACTTGTCCAATAAGCCAGGCTAATTAACCTGTGCTGCCTCCCTCACTGGTTTGGGATCTTTGCATGCTATCACATACACCTCTATGGCTCAGAGCTCTGCTTGTTCAGGGAGTTCTGGAGTGTGCTCTGCTCTCTTGTAACACACATGGCTACTGCTTCTCCTCCAGCACATAAGTAACTGGTGAAAATTGTGCTCACTTAGCAGCTGGTAATCAGCCCTATCTTCAGGGCAAGACAGATGGCTGACCAAGAAAAGTGGAAACTCATTTTAGCCCCTTCCATAACCACCTGTGGCATTAGTTGAAATTTGTACAAATAGTTAAAACAGTTAAGTTGTTCTGAATGCACTAAGTATTAACTCATAGCTTGGGGATCAGTAATGCTGTTTTTCTTGCTCTTTGTCTCAAGCTCTGCTATGTTATGCCATCATCCAGTGCAAGATGTGCTCAGTTTCCTCGGGCACAAGATAAAGTTCATTATTACATTAAGCTGAAAGACTTAAGGGATCAACTGAAAGGCATTGCACCCAACACGGAGGTCCAGGAGGTGCAGTACACATTTGACTTGCAACTTGCACAAGGTATTGTTGTTATTTTGTTAACACTTCATTAAAATGTAATGTAGTTTACAACACTAGCAGTTTCCCAAGCAGAAAGAAAGAAAGAATTTTTTAACGGGGAGATGTGATTCGCCAAACTGTGTGGTAGAGAATTACAGATTCCATTCTCTTTAGTACAGGATACATATTTTAAGGGGAGCAGGTAGAATCTTGTGGAATTTATGGCAATTTTTCAAATGTTTTCTGATAAAAGTGCTCTTTGATAATTTCTATTCTAAATATTAATGCTTGAGCTGTTCTGTTTGTGCAGAGGATGCTAAAAAGATGGCTGTCAAAGAAGAAAAGTATGACCCAGGCTATGAAGCAGCGTATGGAGGAGCTTACTGTGACCGTGCACCGTACGACACGGACCAGTGCGGCTTGTCTTCAAATGGAACTGGTAAAGTGCTTGGGGCATTCATTCTGCAGCCATTGCTGGGGAACAAAGAGCCCCTGGTGTCAACTGCCTTTAAAAATTGTGTGATTTTTGTTTGTTCAGCAGAAGGCAATCCACAGTACTGCGAAGGGTCGTCCTTCAGTGAGGTTCCTAACGGACAGTGGATGACACAGTCCTTTGCAGACCAGATTCCAGAGTTCAGTGCTGCCGTGACACAGGAAGAGGAGGGAAGCAGCATGTAGGAGCTGTTCCTTCTCAGCTATGCACACATGCTGCAGTTTTAATGCAGTGATCAAGATCGGTACCTCAGTTCTCCAACTGAAGCATCTGAATAGTATTTTATCTCACCTAGTTATTTTATTATAGTCCAAAGTAAGTGTGTGGTAGGCTGAAATCAATGAACTAGATAATTTTAAGGAACTGTCCAAACTTTTTAAAAAAAAGTTAGCCCTTTTTTGTATATGAGTTTTATATTTAATGTATACCATGTCTTGCAGTTTTAACAAATTGCTTTCTCATTTGTGAAGATTTCTTTGAGGTGTTAATTTTATTCCATAAATGGCAACATGGTAATGGTAGGAACAGCAGCAGTATACTTTTTACTGATGCCTCAGTACATGGATAACTCTTAATACTTTTATATCCAGGGGGGAAAATGGAAAATGTACCCTTACCGTGTGTGAAGCGGTGTTTTTAATCATGCACAGTTGAGGAAATGGTGCTTTTTAATCCTGCCTTTTACCATCTTAAAAACTGTAGAAAGTTGTGTTCTGCAGCTATAGGTGCTGTTTTCTGGGTGGGACAAGACAGCTCTGTCTCTTCAGTGAGTGTACCGTAATTGAGGATGAAGGGAGTGAAGACATCATCTCAAGTCACAGCACTGGGGAGGAAAACTTGTGTCACACAGGACAGGGCCTAAATATCCTAGCTGAGCTCTCTTAGGATAAGGTTTCTCTACCACTCCATCTCTTTCCCCCTTAAATTACAATGTAAGGAACTGGAATTGCTTTAAAAAAAAAAGCAAAAACAAAGAGCAGTGGTAGTTCTTGAATTCTGTGGTATTTAAACTCCATCATTTCCATGAAGTTAGTCCCTTCACCTGACTTTTAGCAGGAGATAACACCTTTGAATGAGACAGAGAATTGAAAGACTGCATTCTCTTAAAAGTCATATACAACTATGTTATTTACATCATGTACAATTAGCACAGGATGAAAGAGATTTGCAGTTTAGCAATTTTTAACATTAAGCTCTCTTCAATCTGTAGTACCTTAGAGGTTGTTCCCTTTATGCCACTTAAAATTTAAAAACACTGAGTTGAATACAGGGACAGCTGTTCCATGAATAAGAAATTGTCTGTAGAAACTCTCTTCTGAGGAACTTGCCTAAATGATACACATTTTTGTCCAATATGACTGAGAAAAATCATCCTGGTGCCTAACTAACTCTCATCTTCTTTCCCTCTTTTATCATGTAAGGAAAAGATGAAGTAAAAGCAATAAGCTGATCAAAACACTAAAGTTTTGATGATCTTACAACATTTGGTGCTTCACATACTTGAAAACAGACACAAACAGTATCTCCACACTCCATGCTGGTCAGAGATTCCTGTACCAATGTGATTTATCCTCTCCTCACAGCTAGTGACAGTTGTCAGTTGTGTGTAACTGGTTAGTGTATGCTCTAATCCTGCTGTAACACCTCTTACAGAGATCACACACTGTCAACATGTTGTGAGGCAGGCTTGATGTTTACAGTTTCTTCCCAAATTATGTGGCTTAATTCTGAGAATCTTCAATTAAGTGAGTGTGCATTATGATTCTGATTGTGTTTATTAGCTGCAGCATAAAACTGTTCCACATATTGTCAGAAAGGTATAGGACTTTTCTGTTATTTAAAGTGTACTGTATCATGTATTGCTGTTTACATGGATGTTTTCCTGCAGGTGCTCAAAGTATCTTGCATCAGGGATTTGTTACAATTTAGTTTTATTTTCAACAACATTAGAAGCATGAAATTAGCACTGCTAAGTATGTAGCACAGTAGGATGTAACTCCTGAAAGGCTATCCTGTTTGATTGGAAGGGAAAGGTCTCTTCCTTAATGGAATCACCCACTTGGTTATCTGGGTATGAAATACAGTTGAGTGTGCAATGACCATTCCACTAAATACTGCAATTCTGTGTCCTCCCTCAAAACTGGTGCTCTTTTTGTTACAGTGATACAGAAGTTCTTAATCTGTCTTAAATCTATCAATGTTTCACAATAAAATCAGGAATTGTACTGCAGTGTATTGGAATGTATTTTGCATCTTGCTAAGTGCATTACAGGATGGGTTGTAGTCAGAGATGCCACAAAACAGTCACCACACAACAGAACACTGTAATATGTGCCCAGGTTTTCAATTCAGGCTGTTTATGTGGGCTACATAACTAAACACTTCTTGTGCATAACACTGCAGCTATCTCCTGTGTAGTTTTTTTCCTACCAGAAGACATTGGAATCTTACTTAGAAAGACCTTAAAGCACTCTGTCTGACACTGAATTTCACCTCTCTAAGTGTTTAATGAAAGTACTTCATTGTCAAATAAACTTGTTTCCTCACCTTACATGACAGTCAAGACAATCTGAACTATGTATTGGTCACTCCGGCCTCCCTCACTGCCATAAGCACACAAAACTGATGGTCAATTATTCATATTTTTAACAAATACTTCGTTTTCTAAAATCAGTCACTCATACAACATGTTGCGTCTCAAACTATTAAATGCATCCCATACACTACGTTATGCAGTGTGTCAGTATCAGCTGTCAGGACGAGTTAATTTGAACTTCCCTGAGGGGTCAGGAATAAACCAGTTTTCCCAGAGATCAGTGTGGACACTGGGGTAGTCCCAAGGTTTGTATCTCCCATTCCAGTGAAGTAATTTAGCTTCTTGAAGAAATTGCTCTGAGTAACGGGCATCAGGACTCCAACCTGCATGGGTAGATTAAAAAAAATAATTGAAATGCAGTTTTTGATAATGGAAGACACTGTAGAGTGAGTTAAATTCAGGTGACTTTTTTTCAGAAATCTGATTAGTATGCTTTCATGTTAATTTACAACTAGTTGTATGATACAGCAGCTTTTTTTCAGCTTGATGCCTCTTATGCTGCATCAGCAAAAAACCTCAACACATTTCCTCTCTCAACACTTTTAACATCTTGGCATAGCTGGGATTAAAAACAAAGTAAAATCTATTCATTTTACCATACCAGCTAAGCCATTATGTTTTTCCTAGGATAATTCACCACTCCCTGGTGAAAGGTAACTACTTCCTACAAAATGCTGACAACAAACTGCCAGGCCTCCCCTTGTCTTCCACTGCACCTGACTTTTTTCAGTCTCTCACTATATTCAGATATTTCGTATATTCTTTCCATGTAAGTGGCACATGAGGTAAAGGCACATAAGGTCTTGCACTGCAATCTCACAAACTCATCTTAGTTCCAACTTGCAAACAGTGAGAAATTAAACTTACCAAGATGCCTTATGTGCCACATAGGATTAATAGAGGAATATTTTCCATGAAATACAATCAGCATTGGGGAGGTTGCCACACCACCCCCAAGGGTACTGCTATAGAGGTTTTCCCTGCAAAAGGAAAAATAAAAGAATATGTTAAAAACCTCAAGGAATCTTTAGTACAAAAGGCAGAAGATTAAAAATAAGTATCTGGCAAGGAGGAAATACTCATTTTTTTTTTAAGCTAGCCTCAGGAAGGGAAGATCATTCAGTGGCTTCATTCCAGGCTAAGATGGTCACCCAAAATGAGAACCACATGTTCTCAATGTCCCTCAGGATTAAGTGTGGTTTGTGATTGAACACAAGAGTAAAATTCCAAGTGGCCATTTCCTGGTACAGAATTGGTCAGATTTAAACAGATGGAAATGCTGGAACATGAGTTACTTCACTTGACAAGATCTCAAAAGAAAGACTGCTCTGAGTTAAAAAAAACCTGTAAGAGCTTTTAAATGGAAATAAAACTGTAAAACAAGTATTAAAAGTAAAGCACAAAGCTAGATTTCTACACATACTCTACATTTCTTTGCATCCACTTTTCCAACTGCTTTGTAATCCGCTGATGTTTCCATTCAGTCATGTTACCAACAATTACTCCAGGATTAAAGGAGCAGGTACTGGGGCTGATGCCAAGATCTCTAATGGCTTGCTTTCTGTAGTCCAGGAATCCCATGTATGTGTTCTGAGAAAAAAAAAAAAAAAGTACGTTCATCCTTTATGAATCTCTGTGAAGATACATGTAAATGCACCTCACTCTCACTGAGAAGGAGGCTAATTATGCTCTCCCAAAGATAAGCTCCTAGATGGTGGTTACCTGTCGTGAGTTCTGTATGACAAGGCTGTAAGGCAGGATACTTTCAGATATTAAATTACTTTTTCCACAACATTGTACCATGGAAGTTTGATAAGGTTTTAACCTTGCTATGTTTGTCTTTTGGTACCCACGCTAAATCATGCAGCATCACAATTGTACCAGTAGAAAAAGTCCTTAATTACCTGTTCTATTACAAAGCTATCTATATATATAAAATTTTCACTTTGGGGAAAACACATAAAATCACCTTATATTTATGGGCAAACACATTCAATATTAGAATTCCAGAATGGCACCTTACCTGCATCCCTACACTTCTAACCATTTCATGTGTAGAAGGCAGATCGCAATCATCTGAAAAAGCTGCTGCATGTCCAGGAGCTAACTTAGTATTGTAGAGTTCCTGGATGTCACCTGATTACAGAAAGGTCACAAGCATGAGACAACACCTACTGCACTGCTGCAGAGCTGATAGGATAACGTCAGCTCTCATATCTTACACACACACCAGTTTTAAGGATAGCCCCTATTGAATTTCATAATATGGGACCATTTTCAAATTTGCATTTGGATGCCTAAGGTTTTTCTTTAGATATAGTCATTGGTATTACATACATTCATATTATGATTGTCCAAAATCAGCTACAGCAGAAGCTGATAGGACTGTTAAAAAAGCCTGGTTACAAACTTCTGCATACATAGAGCTTGTCTATGGAGAGGGAGGGCACAGGCAATTTTTCTGAGCTCTTCAAGTCCCACAAAAGTTCCATTTCAGTGTCTTGTACAGGTGAGGTTTTTCCTGTTGTTATGGCGTATTTATCTCCTAGGAAGATACCTGGATTCCCAGAAATGGCTGATTGAAATGTGCCTGTCACTTGACATCCCTGCTGGCTTCACAGCCCACCCAGCTCCTTCTTGGTGGAGGGAAACATTGTAATGCCTGGCACCTCACTCATCACCTGACTGTCAGGTACCCAAGATGTGCCAGAGCAGTTTCAGGGCAGGTGGGAAGCAGAGCACTGCCACAGCAATTGAGTGAGTCTGCATCCCAACCCCTTACAGCTTCCAGTTTTACTTTTGCTTTTATCTCTTTTACTTTTTGTACTGCGGGTCTTCTGCCAGGTCGAACAGCTGAATCAGCTGTGTCTGCAGCTGCACAACTGCAGGTTACACACGTAAGAGGAGCTGCCTGGGGACAGGAAAGGCCACTTGGTCAGCAGCAGTCCACCATGAGGTGTGATGTGAAACGGCACCTTTTATCCTGCAGCTCCACAATTATCATCAGCTGACACCCCCAGGGAAAGAGAGAGCCCAGTGCTGGTGAGCACAGGTGCAGGGAGGGGTGAAGGGGGAGTGGCAGGCTCAGCTTGAACTGCTCGCGAAATTGGAGTCGAAATGAAGGCCTGGAACCTTACAGAGTTAAATATTGCTGCTGCCCATTGATGACAGAGCAACAAAACCAAAAAAGCAGAGACTGTCACTGGAAACACCCGTGTTGGAGGAAGTCTATGCCAAATTAAAATGAGACAGAACAGGTTAGTTGTCTTTTACAAAGCAGCAAATAGTGACTCCTTTAAGTGCAGGTGGTCTGAAATCTGCCTCTAGAGAGACAAAATTATAAAAAGGTGCAGAAAAGCAGTGGAGAATTATACTTTTGTCATGTGCAAATTCACTGGTCTTAATGTTCTTACAGCAAAAACTAATAAAGGCTCAAAAGTTTATTGTAGTTACACTCACTCTTTCCAAAGGAAATTTTGTTAGCTGCCCACCAGGCTTAAAACACAACACTCTGGTGAAAAGTGCTTTAAAGTAACAAGAAAATATGATAAAACAAATATGAAGACAACAGCTCTACAGAGAAACAAAAAAACCCAACAAATTGGAAACAGAACAGCAAAAGCTCACAAGAAATGAATCTTTAAAAAAATAATTGGCCGTCAAAAGAGATCACGTGGATGATAAGAAAAAAATAAAATGTTTTTTCAGGATTTGAATGCCTTGTAAGTGCTCCCACTTGACTAGAAACTCTGAAATCTTCATGATTCTGCAAATTGCTTTACATTCTGAGCTGAAGATGCTCAAAACCATATTTTGAGTGTTTGGAGCTTCCATCCACATTTTTTAGTAAATTCCTGCTCTCAAGAACAGCAATTCTGGATAAGGAATTGGTAGCATTTGTGGGAATTTAAATACCAGAAGGAAATGCATGTCACACAACTTAATAAACATTGCAGCATCTGAGTGAAATCCATTGTATCTTTTAGCAATTGACCAGAATCAATTAAAATGAAATCCACATAAAATTTTGATGACAATTATTCAAAATATAAGCAGGTAAGTTCTTCCTCAAACTTGCATTTAAACAAACAAATTATTTGTAGTTTCCCTAAGTTCAACACTCCTAGCAGCTGCCTCAGTTTCGATCTCATATTTCCAAATGGCTGTAAAAGCTGCAATAACTTGGATTTTAATTCTGTTAGAAACTGCTTTTTAACAGCTTACCTTGAACAATGACATCATCATCCAAATATATTACTTTCTCATGCTTCTGGATAAGCAAAGGGAGATAAAATCGAACGAAGTTCAGCTATTAAAGAGAAAGAAAAGGTAAAGACTAAATAGTAAAGCTGTTTAACACAGCAGTCTCAGGCTTCTGTCTCTATTAAGTCAGTTGGAATTTCTCCCTTTATTGAGCACTAATCAGTGACCATTTGCTTCCTTCCCCATAGTTTTCCTGCCCTATCTCAAGCCCAGTATTATTACTATTATTGCTGTTATTACTCATCCACTATGGCCCTAACCACGTAGCCCAAATCTGTTGCTTCCTCACAGAATCCTTTAGGCTGCAAGGGGCCTTTTGAGATCCTCTTGTTCAACCCCCCAGCTGCAGCAGAGCCCACTTGAACAGGCTGACAGGGACCATGCCCAGCTGGGTTCTGAATATGGCCACAGATGGAGACCCAGCAGTCTCTCTGGGCAACCTGAGACTTTTAAACTCATGCTTTAAAAAGGCTTTTCTTCAGCTCAGAGGGAATTTCTTGTTATTTGTGCCCATTGTCTCTTGTTACTCCTCTCAAGTATTTACACACATTGATAAGAACCTCCTGGGTCTTGTCTTCTCCAGACTGAAACAGCCTCAACTCTTTCAGCCTCTCATATAAAAGATGCTTCAGCCTCTTAATCATCTTTGTAGCCCACGTTAGACTTGCCCCAGTAAGACCATATCTTTCTTATACTGGTGGGCTCAGAAGTGGACACGGCACTTTCAGATGCAGCCCCACCAGCGCAGAGCAGAGTGGAAGGAGCACCTTTTTGGACCTGCTGCCAATGCTCTTCCTAGTGCATTTTTACAGCACACATCACACCAAACATTTCAAAATGTAATAATATCACCAATCCACTCTAAAGGAATGATTTGACTGGTGACACAGACATGGGATAACTGCTACTACAGCAATGAAGAACAGAGCAGAGGGAAAGGGGACTGAGAATGTAAGAACAACCATAAGAATTCAGATCATTTTACCCAGCCCCTGCTTTCACAGTGGTCCTAACCAGATGCTCAGTGAAAAATAAAAATAGAGCAAGCACGCAGAACAGTTGCTCCATGTATTTCTCCTAGCTTTCAGCTATTTTCAGCTCAAGGGATTTTCTGATCTAGATGTGATCTAAATATGAACTTCGATCCTAAATGAACCCCTGTACCTTTTTACATCCACAAGACCTTTCAGCAAGGAAATCTAGAGATGCAGTACTCATTCCATGAAAAGTGTGCAACATCTATTGTTTATGCTGTCATTCTGATTAATTTCATCTCACGGTCATTAGCTCTCGCATTGGAAGAGACATATACGCACGCCTCCTCCATGAAATGGAACAGATCTAGGACATTTTAAAGCCCACAATAAGTATTAAAAACCTCAATCATTTGTTATGTGGCATTCATTGACTCACAGGTTGAAGTAGCTCAGGACGTGATGCATCTTGTCTGATTTTTCCTTTTAGTACCATAGGATTGAATTCCACAACCTTAAATTTTATTTCTTTCAGTTTAGAATTTTCAATCCATTTTCTGTGATGGAAAAAAAAGAAGAGATAAAAGAAATATCAAGTGTGTGAATTTCATACTTCCTGCAGGAATTTCACAGACACTTAGGAGAATACTAAGAGACCTTAAAAGCTCACTTGATCTATTCTATCCCAAGACAGAATCAATTATGTCTACAGCTACTGCACATAGACCTTTGTTAAACTTACTCTTAAAATACAAAAAATTCCCACAAAACCTCAATAAAACAAACACCCCACACACTCCTCAAACCAGAGACTCCATCTGTAGCCCAAACAACTATTATTTCCAATAAACTATATTCTTCTAAGTTTTCTTGCTATAATTAAAGATTATAATTTCTCACCCTATCTACAGTGTGTTTAAAGCTGAGGTTAGTCTTCTCCCTTTCCTAGCTTTATGTTCTTCCGGATGACTTCTACATCACCTCCTAATTATGTTTTCTTTAGACTAAACTAATCTTATTTTCATGTTTTTGTCAGATTTTTTAACACCACTGTTTATTTTCTCTCCTGACACAAATTGTGGGTACAAAGGCTACAGAAGTGAAGTAGCCAGAGGTGAGAACTGCTAAGAAATGTTTTAGTTTGCATTCACAACTTGGTCCTCTTCAAGACAATGTTTGCAAACTTGAATGCTGAAACAATAAACTGAAACTTCATGAAATTACATTCATTGAAATGTCAGGATATAAGTTCCTTTCATGAAATGAAGAATTCTCATTTCATGAAGGAAATTAAATAGCAAATCAAGGAATGAAGTGAAATGAAAGGAAGAGACATGAAATATAATGAAAAAAAAAAAAAGAGAAAACTATGTAATGAAGTGAAACAAGTGAAAGGGAATAGAATGAAATGAAGTACATTGAAATGAGATGAAACCTCAATAAATTATATTCATTGAAATCTAGAGATTTCATTTCCTTTCAAGAAATGAGGAATTTTCATTTCAGGAAGCGAAATAAAATGAGAAAAGAAGGATTAAAGCAAAAAGGATAGAAAGGAAAGGAAAATATAATGCAGTGAAACTGAGAAGAAGAAAATTCTGAAATTAAGTGAAAACAATTAAATTGAATGGAATGAAGTGCTGTGAAATGAACTGAAATTTAATGAGATGAATATTCATTGAAATCCTGAGATTTCATTTCATGATAGAAAATGAAATGAGAAATTAAGGAATGAAGTGAAATGGAAAGAAAGGGAAGTCATCACAATATTTTTTGGTTCTCTTTTTATAACTTTAATACATCATCAACTGAAATTAGCTTCAAACAGCAAGTTTTTTCGACTCTGAAACTGAAGACCCAGCACCAGAAGAGGCAATTGCAGTTCCACCAAGTGGGATTGTGACAAGTAGGCTGTGTATCCTTACCTCACTACAGATTCTTCTGCAGCCTAGCTACAAAAACCTAAGAACAGGCATGGCATGGCCTGGATATTTCACACCTCTTTGCACGACTCAGTGCCTTGTGGAGGACAAAGCGGTCCTTTTTCCATCACATACAGAACCCTGGGGGTTGCTCCCAATACCACTACATTTTCCTGAAAAGTCCTCTGAAGTCCAAAAGTGGCTATGCCTGTGCTGGGCGGAACAACAATGTGCCTCTAACTACAGGCCAAAACAAAGCAAGGCTGGTGTGTACCGAATGTGTGGGATGGTTGTCTTCAGCCCAATGATGTAGAACAAAACATTGGCCTCTGTGTTGCTGTAGATGCTGCTGATCGCTGCCACAGCTGCGCCCATCCTGCCCGCAGCAGCGCAGATCACCACTGGGATTTCTTCCTCCATTTCCTCAGGGCTCTCTAAATCCACTATCAGAAACAAATCCATTTTACATCAGATCTGGGTCACAAAAATGAGTAAGCACTACCACAAGCAGTGGAATCATTTTATCACCACTCCATTTTTCCTTACCACATCCTATACACATCCCTATCTTGCAAGGCACACAGCTTGAACTGTTGCTAATCCAGAACCACTTGCAGGTTGACCGGACTGTTGGATGCAACCAAATAGAATAAATAAGAGCATTCTCAGAATCTTCTACTCAGCAGGGGCACAATTTAGCCTGTCCTTCATGTAGCTGCTCATTCATATGAAATCTGGACTGGTTTGAATACCTTTGAGACTTCTACTTCTCAGTTATATTCAGTACAAATTGAACAACAGGTTCCAAAATTATCAAAGGAAGGCGGTAAGTCAAAGAGACTGTGCAATTGCATGAGCTCCTCTTCTCTGGCAAGCTGGCTTGAAAGGAAGAGCACAAAAATTTATACCACCAGGAAATTGCTAATGATATAAGGGAAAAAAGCCTAAACTACACTGAATCAGGTCACATTCCTGCTAAAGATTTATATCCCTGATTAGCACCAATTAACTTACAGAACTTAAACAGATATAACTGTACTGGTTAAAACATAACAATTAGAGTCATAAAAACCCCAACAAAAATATATTGAAAATAAATTATTTATATCAAGATAGAGTTTATTTATCTTTACTGGCAGCAGCGAGTAAGCTATTTATATAGATACTATATAAACAGCTTACTACATTTAATACTAGTCCAACCTTAATGAACTAGCAGTTTTCTGTCACTATAAAAATTTCAGCTGAAACTTCTGCTGTAAATATGAAGATCTGATGGTCTATCTGAAATGAATAATGAAGCCAAGAACATTCCCAAGGAAGCAGGTCGTGATCAAAGTTTATTACCACTTGACAGCTCCAATCTGTTCAGCTATGTAAGGATCCATCTACATCAGTGACATCTGGATAAAAACTTAATCAGAATTACAACTCTTAGTCATCACTACCAATCTCCCATAATTTTATTCAAGTAATTCAGGAGCAAAATGCTTTTCATCACAGACCATATGCAACAGTGTGAGTAGCTCATCTACTGCAGGACATTCAGTAAGGTGAAAAGTGCTGTTCAAGTTAAGACATGAGGAATACAAAACAGGAACGTAAATGAAACTGAAGTGAGAGTCACTTACCTGTTTCATTGCTTAACGCCAAGGGCACTTGGTGAACTTTGTTATACAGAATAGCGCACACGGTTAAGACAAGAAGTAACAGCAAGATCTGGTTAACTGAAACAAGAGGGAGAATGTGTTAACAATCAATATAACTGCTAATTCCCAAGTATCTGACTAAGAAAAAAAATCCAATTTGCAACCAGTACAGGTGATAGAAGAATTTGATAACCTGTTGTGTTTTTCTCATGTTATTTGATCAAGCTAAAAACTTTCCATTAGAAAACATAACAATAATTCTCTCTTATTAAAGTAATCCCCAACTATCTGATTTTCATGGTTAATTTGCTCACTAAATCATACAAGTCCCAATATATATATATAAATATATTTGGGTTATCCGTACTAGGAAATTCACATGTTTCTGAATTTAACCAGGAACTCAGAATATTTTTTTTGCTGGCTAGTCTGTTGTCTGTTTACATTCACTTAATGAGTCAATTATTTTTATGTAGCCCTTGCATTCTGTTATGCTTCCCTGATAAAACTTCAGACACAGGAGAATTTTTAGATCTATTTCAATGTTCAGATCCTGAAGGCGTACTTGAGCAAAACCCTAAAAATTCTAGAAAAACAAACCCACCATGCTAGTGAAACCAGGGATGTTTAAAAATATTTGAAAATACTTATTTTGGCAGGGTAATTTGAATGAGTAAAATCAAAGCAAGGCAAAGACCTGACTGTATATTCTGATTTATAGTTCCAAGAAGACTGTCTTGCACAAATTTAAGTCATTCAACACAAACCAAGCATGTTCAGGTGTTGTGACAGTTCATCAAGCACAACAGGGAAGGAATACATTGCCCTCATCAACATGGGTGTTCTTTGTTTCAGACTACTTTGTTACTTTTTAAAATGTATTTAAGGTGTTCAAAAGAGCAAAAGGAACAGAATTTTTGATCTATTTTAATCAAAACGGCCAACTGGCCACAACTGGGCACGAGACTAGATTGAAATTGGTAAACCAAACCGTCCCTAATTCAAACCAGTTGAGGAAAAAGCCCACTGACTTCTGAGAAATTTTGGGCACATAAATAAATGCGGAAGTCCATTTTCAGTCACTGACCATTACAGCTAATGAGAACCCCAAAATTCTTGGGGCCACACCTCAATATTGAGTATGAACAGCATTAATGTGCAGAGCTCTGGAAAATTCAGCTTCAGTGCCCTGGGCACAATTCACATGAAAGCAGCAGCTACTTGCAGTATTGGTGGGAAATTTCACAATCTCCACTCTCATGAAGTAAAGCAGTGAGTAATTTTAAATGAATGTGAATTATGGTGGTACTTATCTGACAGTTAACAGGAAAAGACTTATCGGCATACTTAAAGTTAAGAATAATTTAGCAATACCAGAACTATAAATTTGCATGCAACTCTGAAAACAGTTGCATGAGAAATCAGATTTGACATTTCTGTCCTCTTTTAAAAAATACATCTTTTAAATGTTTTAATCTCTCTTACCTTTCTTTAAAAGAGCCATGTGTCCTGTTGGATGAGAACTGTGATCTATGGTAAACTAAAATAAAAAATAATTAAAAGAAAAAAATAATAAAAGAGAGAAATATCATTATTACCACAAGTGAATTCCAGTTAGTTATATAAAGGTCTAGGTTTTGGATTATCAAATTTTACTGCTGAACTGATAAAAGTAAAACTGCAATTAATCTCTGTAAATACCTTTTGGTTTTTGAACAAATACTAATTTTATGTGTTTGAAATATTTTCATTAATAATTTAAGCAACGAATAAGTTGTGAAAAACATTTTCATAAATCCCATCTGATCATCCATGTCAGTAGGCGATTTCTAGTACATTTTAAGATACTGTGCAAAGTAGTATTAAAACATCCACTAATGCAATTTATAAATATATTTATCTCTGATTTCACCTCCAACATAGTAACTATAGCAAATAATAATGTCTTGCTGGAGTATGCATTCCCAAACATATGAGAGCCTTATACCAGGGCAGTGTCTTCTAGACCCTTAAAAAATTCAGAGCAATAGTGCAAATATTTTCTTACAGCTGTATTCTTCCAGTGGGTGTCGTGGGCTTGTATTTATGCATATTTTTTGTGATGCTGAAGAAAAGGAGGTAGCCTTCCCTAAAACTGTGCTTCTAGCCCAGGCCTAAGAAGACAGAACATAATCCCTAAAGTATAGGATTATGAGAAATACAACATTCGTTTGAATTCTGGATCCAAAACTACTGTTTATAAAAGAAAACACAAAGCACATAACCAAAACAACAACAACCAACAGTAAAAAACAGCACCAGAAGTTGGATGGGAGAGAAAAATCCAACTGTGTGATCTAACCTTTCTACTATGTAGGGATAGAACAGAAAACAATTTTTCCTGCTTCAACACCTACAGGTATGGACACATTACAGCACAGATTAAGATAGAAGATGGTTCTTTGCACACACAAAAGTGAAGTTTATTCCAGCTCCTTGACAAATCAGACAGAACAGCAAGAACTCCTGAAATCTGAGTCACAAAACTGACCACCTCCCATTGGTTAGTGCTCAAGTTCAGGCAGAATCCTAAATTAGTCTCTACTTTGACCAACAAGTTAAATGACAATAACAACAAAAATATATGAAATCTAAGATGTGGCATAGTTTACAAACCCCTTATATTCAAATGTATTTAAGTCTCAGGTAATGGCTAAATTGCAGTGAGAAAGGAGTACTCTGGAAGTTCTTCCACATCTGCACTACATATCTACATTCCAGGAGACCATTCTCTTCATGTGGCATTAATATACACAGAGGAAATCAAGCTTATCTGTTGGAAAAAATACACAGCTGAGACAGCCTTTCCCTCACGCATTACGCAAAAGCATTACTTTCTTTTACACTTAAAAACTTAACTCATTTAGGTAAGCAGAAAGACAACAGAACACTTTTGGACTAATTTTCTAACCCCACTTTAGCTGATGACAATCTTCCCCTGATTTCCATAGAGCTGCCTACTATCTTTGAATTAGCATTCATAACAATAGCCACAAACAATCCTGATGATCACTGCAAGATGAAAGCTGCACAGCCACAGCTTCATGTTATCTCCAGAAATTATTAAATCCACATAAACTGAACCATGTTTTAAATGTTAAAATCAAAAGACAGACTCTCACACAAGTCTGAGTTCTACAACTACAGCATTCCTAAGCCTCTGAAACACCAGTTGATTACCTACTGATTTTTAAGAAAAGAGAGGTATATTTGTGCCCCTGCAAATATTTACTCATTTACTGTAGACATTATTTCCTGGAACCTGGCAGTCCCTAACTCAGCTGCCAAATCCTGTAACAAAACGAGAGGCTGCAGAAAGGAAAGCTCAAAAACAGTGACATTACTGCTCAGATATTTCCCGCTTAATTAGTCTTTTTACCTCTTCAAAGCAGCACAGTGTTCGGGACTCCTCTCTCCTGAAGCGCTGTAGTTATTTACTTGGATCCTAGATAGCCCACATCTGTAAGCACTCTTGCCAAAGCGCCCTCGACCACCATCCTCCTTTGAAGTCACCCACACAAGGGCCTTACAGGGCACAGTAACAGTTTTATGATTCAATTCCTTTTTTGAACTCTTCAAAATTTACTTTGGAGCTGTGCTGGTTTTCTTTCCTTTCTCTGCTGCTGAGGAATAGTGCAGAGTCCAGACGCTGTGCTGGAGGAATGTGAGCACATAAACCACTTCCAGATGTGCAGAGTGATGATACAGCCCCAGATTTGGCAAACTGGCCTCAGAGCTTCAGCTAGCAGATTGCAAACAAATCCCACAAGACAAAAAGTCTTAAAGGGGTGGGGGAAAGAGAAGGAAACAAACCCTTCCAGAAGTTACTTCCAAAATCTAGCTGCAAGTTATGCTTTTAGTCATTATTTATGGTAAATGTGAACAGGTAACTAGTGTGCCAGAGCCAGACTACCACATGCCAAAGTCTAACAGAAATCCAAAGTTTTTCCAGTGTCTGTTGGCAGAGTTCTTGAGAGTCAAAAGCTAAGGGAAACTTGCAAAAGTCAACTCTGAACATGCATTTTGACTTGAATAATCTCATTTCCTAATCTTTGAGCATTTAATCCACAGGTTTGGTTTAGATTCAAAAGGATCTTGGATCAAGGTAACCAGCACATGGTGATACCCTGCCTACTAAGCTCTCCTGGAATGCTTTTGCAGTTTTCTTTCTACAGCACTTCTTTTATTTGAATTCTGTCCCTCCCTTCTAGGAATGAGCTTTCTAAATGATAAACCACTGGTTTTTAACAAGACTTTCTTGAGTACTGAAAGGAATAACAATAAACGTCTTCAACTCTAAACTATTTTTTGTATTTTTATTCTGAGGCAGTGCCAAATTTATGAGTAATAGTCAATAAAGGTCTTAAAAATCTTAACTGTTTTAAATGGCGATTGCTCCATTTGCAGGAGCCAAAAATGTGGGATTTCAACTATGTGCCTCAAACATGCCCAAACTGTATTATCTGTGTCTGATTTTGTACAGGAATCTCTCCTCTGCTTGAAGAAAAATTAAATGAAGAGTTATACACACAGTTATGTGCTTTGTGCAGATGGCCACAACTATTAGTATTTTGTTGTGCTACGATATTTAAGTTGTATTAAACTCATGTTCACCATAATCCACCCATGTTTTTTTCACCTTCCCTTCCATTTCTATGTGAATTTAAACAGATCTGAGCAGCACGCAGTCACATGAGCCTGCAGAACTGGACTGGCTCCTTCACCTGGCAGAACCCTCGGGATTACTGGCAATGCAGTAAAACCTTCACAGCATCAGGTTGGAAAAGCACTCTGAAACCATCAAGTCCAACCTATAACCAAGCACCACCTTGTCAACTAGACCACAGTGCCACATGTGCCAAGTCACCTTCACAGAATCAGGTTGGAAAAGCACTCTGAAACCTATAACTAAGCACCACCTTGTCAATTAGACCACGGTGCCACATGTGCCAAGTGCCACATCCAGTCCTTCCTTAAACACCTCCACCACATGCCGGGGCAGCCCATTCCAATGTCTAATCACTCTTTCTATGAAGAAATTCCTCCTAATGTCCAACCTCAATTATACATGTCAGCATCATGATTTACCGTGTGGAACTCAACCATGAGAAGAGACTTTTAGCACCAGATACACCTTTTTTGGATTACCCTCAGCATCACACGTTTATATTCTCACAAAACACTCCCCTCACACAGGAAAGAGCAGCTTCTCTCCTGCAGAACCAGACCTTCGAATTCACTCAGATCACCCGCGGCCAGCCGCAGAACCGAAACCTCGGTTGCTAATCTCAACCTTCAATGTTTAAACAGGAACTCATTTCTTTCTCGCCGCACACCTCGCAAGCAGCAGCATTGCCTCGCCTACCGCTAGCCAGTTAAAAAAAAAAAAATTAAAAAAGAGAACATGCTACACGTTTCTGAGGGCTCGGCGGCAGAGGGGGTGCCCCAAGCAGAGGAGCCCACGCCGCGCCCGCTCGGGCGGCGTGCGCTGCAGGCATGGAGCCCCTCCACAGGGATCCCGGCGGAGCACGGCCGGGCCCGGGGGCGCCGCAGGAGCGGAGGGGGCAGCGCCGAGCCGGGCTGCGGCGGAGGAGGCCGCGGGGCGGGACACGGACCCGCCGCCCTCACGTCAGCGCTCCCCCTTCCCCGGCGGGCTGCCCCGGCCGCGCGGTGCGTTGTGGGAGCGGCGCTGAGATGGCGGCGGCCGCCGCCGGGCTGAGCTGGAGGCGGGTGTCCTCCTTCACGGGGCCGGTGCCACGCTCCCGCCACGGGCACCGCGCGGTCGCCATCCGAGAGCTGCTCATCATCTTCGGCGGCGGCAACGAGGGCATCGCCGACGAGCTGCACGTCTACAACACGGGTGCGCGGGGCGGGGCCCCGCCGCGGGGCGGGCGGAGCGGGGGGACCGCGGCGGGGCTGTCCCGCATGCGACCGCCGGTGGCACCGGGCTCTTCACGGCGCCGGGACCCCCCCAGGCCTCCCGCCCTCCCCCGGCGCTGCCCGCGGGAAGCTCGGCAGAGGGGGCGGCGGGCGGGCTGAGGAGCTGGCCGGAGCCGAAATGGCGGGGCGGAAAATACGCCTGGGCCAGGGGTCTTCCCTGGGGTAGTACTGCGCCCCGGCTGGTGCTGCGGGGTTGGTGCTCCTTGCTGGGGAAAAGCGAGCGGCAGGATGGCCCGGTGCGTGTCGCGGCTGCTCTGCCGTTCCCGGCTGTTGCGCAGGGATGCGGCGGCTCTCTTCGCTGGCAGGTCGCGGCTGAATGGCGGCAGGCGGGATTAGTCCCTGCGAGTGTCCGGATCCCCCTCCTTCCCTCTGGTGGCGGCAGCTCACGAGAGCCGAATGCGCTGGAATGGGAATCTTGTTTGGAAAAGTGAACATGTTGGCATCGGGAGCCTTTCCAAACAGGAAGCTGCCCAAGACCGATTTTATTTATGAAAGATGAGATGCCCAAATAGTTACAGTACGGAATGCTGGATGAGGCTGGAAAACTTGCGTGTAATTTCAGGGCTTGGGCCGAGTCGGGGGAGTTCAGTGACTGATCTGTGCTTCTCAGTCAGACCGTGCTGGCTGCTTGAGGTTTTTCAGGCAGACTTTTCTCAGATAGCTTAAAGATCTACTATGCTTAAATCACATTTCTGACAGGAGAACGCAAAAATCTCTTAACCTTTCTGTTCTAACAAATAATCCAAAGAAAACTCTTAACATAGCTATGCTATCAGAAGAAGAGGTTCTGACGGATGCCTTTTGAATGAGTCTTATCGTGACTTGTTTTTTTTTTCTTCTCAGACTTTCTGCTTAAGGTGTTTCCCCTTTGCAGCATTGACAAAAAGCATCATGACTTAGTTGCTCCAGTTTCTGGATGAGTGCTTGGCCCAAACTGACCTTTTTTTATTCTGGGGTTTAAGATGCAGGGTTATGACCTGAGCTGCCCGAGTGTGGGATGTCATCCATGGCCCTTGCTGTGATGATTTTTGAGGAGAGTGAGAGCATCTTAATCCCCTGCAGCAACGTTCACTGGAAGCTTCTAATTTCCTACTTCTCCTCTTCGTGCTCATAAAAAAGGTGTAGGAAAACGAAGACATTGTCCCCTGTAATTCTTAAATTCCAGAACAGTTTAGGCATCACTATGCTGCTGCTGCTGGATCAGACAGTCTCAGTTGCTTTTTCTTGGCTCTGTGCCTCTCCTCTCCCACTCTTTGGATATTAAAATGGGTCCCAGAACAGTGTAATTAGTTTTTGAATAGGGCTATTAAGTCCAGGCACAGTGCCATGCTGCTGTAGCTCTAATAATTCTGTTTCTAGGGCTAGCTCCCTCTGAGTTAGCGTTGTTATCTCTTTTGTGTGGAGCTGCACTTGTGTTCCTCATTAGCCTCTATTCTTGGCAAGTCCATTAAATTGCTGGATGACCCTTTATGACTGACAGTTGCAGTGACCTCATGGGCTCATTCATGTACTGAGAACATTGGTTTGATAGAGGTGTTTGCTTTTCTTGTTATTAAAGAAAATAAGAATTCATTTAAAATTTAGTGTGAAGCAAATAGCCTTAGTTATCTGCAGATAATTCTTTGGAAAGCAGAGGTGTCTAAAATAAATGTCTAAAAACACATGTTCAGTGTTTGAAATATTTTTCTAATCTATTTTTCTGGGTTTTGGCTTTTTATTTTCTACTATAGTTACGAATCAATGGTTCCTTCCTGCTGTAAGGGGAGATATTCCTCCAGGCTGTGCAGCACATGGATTTGTTTGTGATGGTACAAGAATACTAGTTTTTGGAGGAATGGTTGAATATGGAAGATACAGCAATGATTTATATGAATTGCAGGTAGGAAATGTATTAATATGTTTTGATTTTCAGGACTACTATATTTATCTGTTTATGAAGAAACACATTTTATTTTACCAACTGCAGAGGAAATTTATATGATCTTTGCTCTTCTTCAGAAGATTTTTTTTCCATCTTAAGAATTTAATGTTTATTCTAAATAACTTTGATATGGAGACTTTCATCTAGTCTAAATAAAGTATGATATATTTAGTATTTTATTAAGGTTAGCTCTTACATATCTCTTTTAGTGAATGTCTTAAGAAAAGCTCAGCATTCCCTTAAAAATAATTCAGAAAATATATAACTGTTAATATTATATGAATTCTATTTGTTATGACAGATTATGAAATAATTATGAAATTATTTTAAAATAATTTTTTCTTGTCTTCAAGGCAAGTCGGTGGCTCTGGAAAAAAGTAAAACCTCAAGCTCCTTCAAATGGATCACCACCCTGTCCTCGGCTTGGCCACAGCTTTTCTTTGTATGGTAACAAGTGCTATTTATTTGGTGGCCTGGCAAATGAAAGTGAAGATTCAAATAATAACGTTCCCAGGTATGGTGATTTGTCTTCGAATTTAATGGCTTTAAAAACAAATTATTTGATTTGACAGCTTTGAAAAGGTACATTCTAGGCGGGCTGTCCTGCCTAGTACTCAAAGTTGGATTATTTGTGCAGTGAAGGGGTTACATGTGAAGAAGGTTAAGTATTCCTTCTGCTAATCCCACAATGTGGAGCACTGAGTGATAGCTCTGACACTTTTGTAGGGAAACCTGAGTAGGCTTTCGTATTTCTCCTGGTATTTTGGGTGATGTTTTTAAGAATGGCTTGTTTGTAAGAGTTACGTTAATCAGCAGAGTCTCATGAGTCATCAGGGAATTCATGATGGATGTTTCTTCTGTATTGCTGTGAAAAACAGTTATCAGTTCATCTGGAATTTTTTTACAGTAACAGCTGAAGTTGCCATTGTAAGAAACTGTGCTATAATGCTGAAGTTTTGTATGCACATTCACCTGCAGTTCAGAGCACTTATATCCACTGAGCTATAAGCTGGCAATTTCAAGCTCAGTAAACAAAAGATATCTGGTGTGAATGCCAAGATTCAAAGACCATTATCTAAAAATAACTTGCTGATAGATTCAGCAACAAATGGCTAATTGTGCATTGGCCAGCCTGAAGACACAAGAAAACAAACAGCTGCTTCTTATCTTTGTTGCCTTAAGAGTTGCAGAAATTTCTCTCTAATACCTCTTGTCATCATGTATTTCCCACAGCTTTGCGGTTTATTGTGTGTCTGTATGTAGCAATTTTTGCAAGAAATG